TGGCTAAGACAGCACAGGCAGAAAATTTAGCTCAGATAGCAGCTCCCCAGCGGACAGCATAGATTGAACTAGACACATCAGGGCTGCAGTTTAGTGTTCCCAGCTCTTTATAAAAGGAGACGTCAGGGCACTCTGTGCTTACCTCAGTTCTAAACCACATGCCAGCAGCTAGCATTTCTCACAAGCTGTGTGGTCCCCCACCTACCCAGGAAAGTGGATTTCTCCAGTGGGTTGAACATAAACCCCTCCTTTTGAAGCCTCAGGAAGAACCCTCACACTTCTTCACCCTTTAATCTGGTAATCCTTGCCTCTGTTCTTATGTTCCTATCCAGGACTCTGACAAAGATCCTTTAGGTGTGACTTGATTGATTCTCACAACAGCTCTGTCATGTGACCTTATTGTATTACCTGAATGTCCAGGGAATGTTTCTTGATAAAGATGGTAAATCTAAGGCTCTGAGTGTCATCCCTGTGTTTGGGTCAGGGTCTCTAAACCAATACCCAGTCTGGTATTGGAAAGACAAGTGGTCCCACCCAGGGCTGCTGCTGCTGTTGGTGGTCTGCATGCTCTGGGCCAGCTGTGAGTTCAGGAAGGGGATGCCTCTCAGCTCTTCCTCCTGGCCTCTTGACAGCTAGTTTCATATCCTGCCTGCTTCTATCACCCACTGGCCAAATCCTTGCTGGGCTGAATTCCAATTGAGGAGGCACACTGGAAGGCCAGAGGTGCCTATGAGCATGTGAAGCCCTGGGTCTGCCTTACTTGGTACAGTACCTCCCGAACTCCAAGTTCAAAACCTGGAGGTTTCCTGCCTGCATAGTATGGAGAGCGGTCCTTCTGCTGTAGTGACCATCCACCTGCTCCTATGCTCTGCTGCTCATGGCCTGGACAGACTAGCTGCTGGAATGGACTCAAAGCCCCCAATTCACTGCTGTGGGCTGGGCTGGGAAGATGCAGAGGGCAGGCTCCTGAACCTCCCAACTGTGCTTCCTGATGGATTCCCTGGCCAATAGCTAGGCTGTGTGTGTGTGTGTGTGTGTGTAGCTAGGGTGTGTGTGTGTGTGTGTGTGTGTGTGTGTGTGTGTGTGTGTGTGTGTGTGTATGTGTGTCTTATTGGCAGGGCAGGGTAGGTGCCTTCTGAGTCTGAGTGGACATGAGCTGAGCCCCCAGAGTTGCTGGCACACTTCAAACACATGTAGACTGGAAGATGTCAGGTGGAACTTTCTAGGTTCTCATTCATACTGGGCCATTACCCAGCACTATGATCTTAAGCAAGACCCTATTGCTGGACTGACTCTCTTCTCATAAAACAGAAGCTAGTCAGTGGTTACCAACGCAGCACATGAGCAGAAACTCCTGGGTGCTTGATAAAAGCATAAAACTCACTGGACGTGGTGGTACATGCCTATAACCCTGGCACTCAGGAGGCTAAAACAGGAGTATTATGTTTGAGGCTAGCCTGGGCTACAGAGTGAGAATCTGTTAAAAATAAAAACCAACCAAGAGTGGGCATGTAGCTCAATAGTAGAACCCTTGCATAGCATGCACAAGGTCCTGGGTCCAATTCCCCACACCAATTCCCCAATAACCCCCTCCCCCAAAATAAAACAAAACAACAGCAACAAAATCTCACAGAACCGTGGCCAGCATCCACTTTAATAATAATTTCCAATAGTGATTCTGAAGTAGGCAGCTCACAGGACTGAAGTTCAGTGATCTTGATAAGTCAGTGAACAACTGGATACAGAAAAGTCAAGGCTGCTGAAGTGGTTACTGGGATTTAGGGTCCAGGGCCCATGTGCTTGGCAGAGATTTATTAATGCACACACTCTCTACAAGCTCGACCTTTATTGTGTCTTCCTCTCAATGTAGCTTGTCTTTTGTGATGTTCTTGTCAGATCCTGCCAGGATCTAAATATTCCTCAGAAAAGACTCCCCCACCCCGCATCTGGTTTCGTTACTGCTCTAGGCCTCAGTTTCCACAAATGTACAATAGGAATCTGGATCAGGGATCCTCCCTTCTTCCAGAAACATATGTACAGAAGGCCAAGAATAGGACACGATGAGAATGTAGTAAAACCAAGACACACAGAATATTTTGGGCAGGTGAGAGTGAGCGGTGCCCAGAAAGCAACAAGCCAGTGCCTCCCAGAAGGTAGGTCTAGTCCTCCACTCAGCAGAACAAAAGCGTCTCCAGGACTTACTGGTTTTGTTGTTGTTTTGACAGGGTCTCATTCATTCCAGGCTGGCCTTAAACTTGTTACACAGCTGGCAACAGCTTTGAACTTCTGATCCTCTTGCTTCTACCTCTGGAGTGCTTAGATTACAGGATTATAGGCTTGTGCCACCATGCCTGGTTTTGTGTGGTGCTGGGGACCGAACGCAGGGCTTTATGAGTGTTAGGCAAGTACTCTACCAATAAGACACATCCTCAGGTCTGTGATTTGTTTCTAACCAACAGAGTAGGATGGATGTCACCTCTGCAGGGTGGCTTCATAAGATTGTGATTCCCATCTTGTTCATTTGAACTCTCTCCTTTTTTTTTTTTTTTTTTTTTTTTTTTTTTTATGATGCAGTTGCCATGGTAGGAAAGCCTGCTGGGCCTCTGGAGGTCAGCCTTGTATGTCATCCTCTCTAGTTAGGGGCTGCATTACCTTGATCCTCTAGTGCCAGGCCCTGCACCTGGCTCAGTGTGAGTTCAGAGAGTTTGCCAAGGAATTGAGACTTTGCAATTGCTCTTCTCCATTACCTCCCAACTCTCCTCAGATTTGGCAGCTTGCTTTCTTAGAAAGTAGGATGATCACTCTGAGATTACTGACTCCTAGAGGACTCCAGAATACCCCTAGGTTGCAGGGTAGGAGATAGACAGGTTAGCCCAGAGCAAATTCTGAGAGCTTGCTCCAGTGGTCTTTTTTTAAAAATACATTTTTAATTAATGTATTTTTATTTTATGTGTATGAGTGTTTTGGCTGCATGTATGTGAGTGCACCCATATTGTGCAATGCCTGTGGAGGTCAGAAGAAGGCATCAGATCCCCTGGAACTGGCGTTAGGGATGGTCGTTAGCTGCCAGATGGGTGTTGGGAACCAAACGAGGTCCTCTGCAAGAGCAGCTAGAGCTCTTACAGGACAAACCATCTTTCTAGCCCCATCTTTTGTACTTTGAGACAGAGTCTCTTTATGTAGGCCAGGTTGACCTGGAACTTGAGATCCTCCTGTCACAGACTGATTATTGACCTGTGCCACCATACTGAGATGGTCCAATGGATTTGGAGGCCACATGAGTCACCAAGAAGCTGAGATATGAGAGGGGAAGAGCCCAGCTGTCCTGTCTCCCACTTGAGCAACATATCTCCAGCCAGCTAGGCTAGCATAACGCAGGCATCCTTCCTCAGAGGAATGCCCTGGGGCCAGAATGATGTACCTGGCTGGTGAAAAGCGCTGTCCAAAGGTGGGGCAGGGAAGTTGTTGAAACTCTTTGAAAAGGAAACTAACAACTACATAGGGAAAGAATCACTGGTTTAGGTGTATGCTCTCTTCCATCCATCAGGTAAGGAGGCTGCATTGGTCTTCTGTGGTTAGTGGAAGAAATCACCCCATCATATGGTGACTTGACGATAGAAGTGTATTCTCTCACAGTTCTGGAGGCCAAAGGTCCAGCCAGAATCATTATCTGTGGGCCAAAATCAAGATATGGACTGGCTACATTCCCTCTGCAGGCTCCAGGTGAGAAGTTTCTTGTTTCTTCCCCCTCAGGTGACTCCAGGTATACCTGGGCTTTCCAGACAGCACTTGTAATCCCTTCTTCTGTGGTCACAGTGCCTTCTGCCATCTCTACGTACCTCCCTCTTATAAGGACGTTGTGATGGTATTTACACTCCTCAGGGGTCATCCAAAATCATGTCATCATCTCAATATCCTTAATGTGATCACATTTTCAAAGCCTTTGCCATATACAAGATATCCACATGTTCCAGGGACTAGAATATTGACACTTGGGGATTCATTATTGTACTACCCTAAGGGTGTATCAAGAAGGGAGAAACTGAGGCACAGAGCACATTATATTTTTTTCTGGAAATCAAAGCCTGGAGTGTGAACTCCCAGATCCACTTCCTGCCTCTAACTACTGTCCTCATATAAGGTGAGGCCCTGGACAGACAGGCCAGTTCTGCCTTTGCCCATCTTAGTATCCAGAGTCAGGCTCCTTCTCAACCCCTTGACTCCTCTTTCCTGCCCCCACTTCTCCACCGGCACTGGCGTGGGAGGCCCTGGCTTCGAGACAGGGGAGTCTGGTCTCACAGCAAGAACTCTTCTTTTCCCTTCCCGGGAGAGAGAGAAGCATGGCTCCTCTGTGAAAGCTGTTCAGCCCTGCAGTTCAGGAGGCTGCAAATCCCTCCTTGCTTGCCCATGGAAACAGCTGTGGATTTAACCCCTTACAGGCCTGTGGACCCTCCCCGGGCAGAGCTGGGAAGTAGGGGCTTCTTTAGGACCAGTTTTGCTCCTGTGTGTGATTCTGGCAAGTGGTCCTAGTGTTTATTGAGGGGACTTAAGACTGCCTCTCCTGCCCAAAGCCAGGAAGGGCTGGAGCTAGTTAACTTTTGGGATGGCTGGCAAAGACCACAGCAGGAAGGGTGTGTCCTGGACTCAGGAACATCCTCTCCAGTCACCACTAGCATCCAGGAGGCCCATTGTTCAGAGCCAGACCATCCTGAGTTCTGGGAGGAATCCTGGACCACCTGGCCTGACCATAAGGCACACATACATCCACCCCAGGGCAGGGGCGCTGACAGCAGGCAGCTTACTTAGCTTTCTCCTCACCAGGATGGAAGCTGCCCAGGGAACAGGGACTGTGCTTATTTATCTTTGGCAGATAATAAGCTCTCTATAAATGACTTCATAGATGCTGAAAGTTTCCAGCTTCCCAAAAGTTTTCTTTCACCTCTCTCATCACTCCCCTGCTTCCTTCCTGACCTCAAATTCTGAATCCTCCCGCCTCTGCTGCTAAGTGCTGGGATTACACATGTGCACCATCATGACTATTTTATCTGAAATGGCTCTGTGTTCCCAGTACTGGGCATCAAACCAAGAACTTTATACATGCTGGGTAAGTACTCTGCTATTATGCTACATGCTTAGCCCTTTTTCTGTCTTTTCTTTTTAATTTTTTTTTTGTGTGTATGAGTATGCATGTACTTATGCCACAGTAAGTGTGTGGCGGTCAGAGGAAGCTTGCAAGAGGCAGTTCTCTCCTACCATGGGGTTCCTGGGATCAAACTCAGGCTGTCAGGCTTGGCAGCAAGTTTCTTTACCTGCTAAGCAATCCTGCCAGCCCTTTCTGCATCTTCTGACACCCAATTTATGTGATTCCTACCATATTGCCATCCACTATCCTAAGTCACCCAGGTAAGGGATTGAAAACCCAAGCTGTCATCTGCACCCTACATTCTGACTTCTGTTCCCTTTCTCTTCCTTTTGACTGTTTCTTTCAGGGTGCCTTTAACATCTTAAAACTTCACTGAGGTTGGTTCTTCAGTCCCACAGAGCTGGGTAATAACTGCATTTTATTGAATGTTACATGTGGGTTAGAGCTGCTGGGTACCTCATGTGAATTACTAAGTAATTCATTTGAAAAGGACAGCAGAAGAACAAGGAAGGACTGGGGTTTTGAAAACAGGATGGGCAGAGGCACTTGGATAACAGTGGCCATGCTGGCCGGAGGCTACAGAATAGCTACTGGACAGACATCTGGCCATTATGGGGTGAGGGGGAAGCATCAAGAGCTACGGCATAAGGCAGTGTGGGTTAGAAGGATCCAGTTACAGCACTCCAGAGGTGGACTGGGCATAAGCCTGGTAGGCCTGGCCTGGTCCTGGTTGACTATGAGCTGCTCCTCCCCTAAGCCACAACAGAAAGACAATAGTTGTAGACAGCCTTCTCAGGATGGGACAGCCGGTGCCAGGCTGCCCAGTAGGACAAGGGGCCCTTGTGTAGGCCTCAGCTTCAGATCCTGCTCCACCCTCTCTGGCCTTGCAGGGGGAGTTTATCGGAAGTTCAGATCCTGGGGAGGCTGGATCTCATGCTGCAGGGCCTATACTGGAAGAGGGGTCACCTGGAGGTCTCCAGGGAGCCCTGATGGGGCTGGGTACAAGTTCTAGTTTCTGGAGCCTGGGGGAGATAGGTGGATGGTTTGTGGCCTTCCATGAAAAGAAATACCCCATTTCTCATTTGATTCTCACAATAACCCCAGGAAATGAGTGCAAAGGATGATCACTACCATTTTGCAGATGAGAAAACAGATTTTAAAAGATGGAGGTTTTTCCTTGGAGCTCTCCAGGAAGAGGGAGAAGAGTCTTTGGGGTCATGGAACCCTGAGTGTGGGGATGGGATGTGGGCAGAGGAGCAGTTTGTTTGCTAAAGGCTCTGAATGTTCAGGAGCCCAAGACCACATGGAGTGGGAGCCAAGACCCTATCTGCCCTGAGAGTCAGGATCCCCTCATTGGTCCACCTGGTCCCTCTTCTCCCTGGGCCTTTCCACCAGCCAGGGAAATCCCTTAAGAGTCCAGGCCAAGCCTGCAACATTCTGGAGAAAGGAGTTGCAGCAAGCTGGGTCAGGGAAGCTCAGAGGCTATGGACAGCCCAAGTCTACTCAGCTTTTCCTTGAAATTCCACACACCCTGGGCGTTTGGCAGGAGCCTGGAATGTGCTTCATGGGAACAATTTGTCTTTCATGGTCCATTAGCATCAATCAACCCATTGTTCCAATGCCTTTGCCTGGACCTCTCTGGCTGGCTGAGTCCTCCCTGTGCCTGTTGGAGGACTGGTGGGGAGACATGGAGTATGTAGAGGGAGGGGTGACCCCTGGTGGCCCAATATGCAAATGCTCACTCAGGTCCCTGGTTGAGCTATCAGAGCAGTTGGATGGCATTTCCCCAAAGTCACACTCTGGGATCCCTGGCCCCACTCCCTCCTCCCCTCCTCCCCATTCTTTTCCCAGAAGCCCTGGAGGCAATGGGAGAGAAATAGTTTGGGAGCTGGGAAGGCATAAATAACATAGATAAGTCAGCCACTTCATAAAAGGAGGGGCACTGCTGTGAGAAAAAAGACAGTCATCTATCCAGGCATCCTGTCAGCCCCCAAACTGTGTAATCAGCCATCCTCCCTAGGACTAGGGATTTAGCAATGAAATGAGAACGGTGGCTTGGGGGGCAGTGTATAATACTGCTACAGCCCTGGTCCTGGAGGATTCTTAGGTGGGTTTTAAAAAATACTTCATATGTATGAGTGTTTTGCCAGCATGTATGTAAGTGCATGCAATGTCCATAGAGGCCAGAAGAGGGTACCAGATCCCCTAGAACTGGAGTTATGGTGGTTGTTAGCCTCCGTGTGGGGGTTGGGAATCTAACCCCTGTTCTCTGGAAGAATAGCAAGTGTTCTTAACTGATGAGCCACCTCGCCAGCCTCTTAGGTGGGCTTTGAATCTTAGATTAGCTATTTACAGGCTGAGTGCCAGCTGGTTACCCTGATAAACTTCAATTTCTTGCTCTTGTAAAATGGTGATAGGAACACCCTTAGTCTTTGTTATTTGTGAATCTTACATTTGCAAATTAGTCTACCTGCTAACTTTTTTTTTTTTTTACATGTGCACCATGACCTACAGAAACAAATGCAAAAAAAGGAAGAGAGGAGGGTAAACAAAGGAGGCTGAAGAGCTGGCTTAGAGGTTAAGAGCACTGGCTGCTCTTACAGAGGACCCAGGTTCAGTTCCCAGCACCCACATGGTGGCTAACACCCATCTGTAACTCCAGTTGCAGAGGATCTGATGCTCCCTTCTGGCTTCCACAGGCAATGCACACATGGGTGCACTTACACACATGTAGGCAGAAAACTCATACATATAATAATACTTTAATTATTATTTTTTTTCTTTTTGAGACAGGGTCTCCTTGTAGCCCCAGCTGTTCTGGAACTCACTATGTAGACTGGGCTGGCCTCAAACTCACAAATATCCACCTGCTTCTGCCTCCCAAGTGCTGGGATTAAAGGCATGCGCCACCACGACCGGCAAAAAATATTATTTTTATTTTATGTGTATTAGTGTATTGCCTGCATGTATGTGAATGTAGCCATGTCATGCAATGCCACAGAGGTCAGAAGAGGGCTTGGGATTCCCCTGGAACTGGAGTTAAGAACGGTCTGTGGCCGCCATGTGGGTGCTGGGAATAGAACCCGGTCTTCTGCAGGAGCAGTCAGTGCTCTTAACCGCTGAGCCATCTCTCCAGCCCCTTCTTTTTCTTTTTTAAAGATCTATTTATTTTATGTATATGAGTGTTTTGCTTGCATATATGTATGTAGTGCCCACAGAGGCTAGAAGAAAGCTTTGGATCCCTGGAGCTGGAGTTACAGGAAATGAGCCATCACAGATATGGATGCCAGGAACTGAGCCATCTCTCCAACCCTTAACATTTCTTTATAATTATCTAAATCAACACTTTTAGAACTTGGGGTCATTTGCAACATGTAGAATGTTGAAAAATCCCAGTTGCCCAAACCAATTCTCTGTGATTGAGTAAGGTGGCCTTTTATTCCAGCGCAAATTCTATGAGCAAGTGTTCTTTTGAGATTTACTCTGTGTCACTTTTGGGGGTATATTTATGCTTTTTCACTATGGAGCATAGTGTTGACATGCTCTCTGGAGTTCCTAAGTGCAGGAAGGCTATAATATCCCTTATGGAGAACGTATGTACAGTAGATCATTTTCAGGAGTGAATTACAGTGCTGTTGCCTGCAAATTCAGTGTTAGTAAGCAATATATATCAACAAGACGTCTTTAAGTAGAAATACACACAACACAAGGTTATGAATTGATTAGCTGATAATAGCTGATAATCAGATCATGTCCAGCAGCTCACAGAAACCTAACCCTATGTTTTTCCTAAGAGCAATTGGTCCCTATTTGCTAACCTGAATATTCAGGAATTGTAGAATGCAACCTTCATAAATACCAAATGTCTATAGTTATTTCACAGCATGTCAAGTGTGGACTTACAGGTAATGCAGTTACCACTGTCCTGTGATTTATGTGGTTACCTGTTCATCTTCTGAAGCCCCTGAACCTTGTGTGGGACTTAGGATCCCCATGTGCCTGGATGTAGCATTTTCAAATATGCACACCCAGAAACATATCAGCCCACATTTACTGCTCCTGTCTGGAACTTCCATCCCAAACACTTAATTCATTTGGTTTCATTCAAAGACCAGTACAGCTTTGGATGACTCACAAAGACTCTTTTCATTGACATGACCTCATCAGGTCCTCACAACAATAGCAGGGTGGTGGCATCATGGTTCCCGATTCTCAGATGAGCCTGAAGTTCACAGAGGCTAAGTAAGCAGCCCAAGTTCATCTAGTATGCTAGCAGCAGAGTCAAATTCTACTGTTTTCCCACCACATAATGGTCTGGAGGAGGTAAGAGCCAGATCTCATCATTGATGCTTTAGTGTGAATGGGTGCATTCAAGTTCCCAGGGACATTGGCTGGGAGCAGGTAAGCGATAAATGTCTTAGCACCCACTCTGCAGCTGCTTCCAGCTCCCCTCACTCCTCCCACTTCCTTCTACCTGCAGTCCCTTTAAGAGGCTCTGAGGATTATCATCATAGTCACCATGCTAAAAAATCATGTCTGATGATCTTACATCCTCTGAAATCAAACAGAGGAAGCTTTGGCCTGTAGAGGGTCTATACTGCTTAGCTAATATTCAGTCTGGAGGTAGGGAAGACCAAGAGCAAAACAAAGGCAGATTCTTTGTCTGTTGTGGGCTCACTTTCTGCTTTACACACAGCTGCCTTCTTTTAATATTTTATTTTTTTATTATTTTTATTTTATTATATGAGTGTACTGCCTGCATGTATGTGAGCGCACCCGTGTCATGCAATGCCTCAGAGGTCAGAAGAGGGCTTTGGATTCCCCTGGAACTGGAGTTAAAGATGGTTCGTAGCCGCCATGTGGGTGCTAGGAATCGAACCCAGGTCCTCTGCAAGAGCAGTCAGTGCTCTTAATCGCTGAGCCATTTTTCCAGCCCCACAGCTGCCTTCTTATTGTAGTCT